ATATGTATATATATATATATATATATATATATTTGGTAAAAACAAACAAACATGGCAACAAGTAAGGAATATTTCCTGTTGATATAATCCATCTTTTTAAGATATTTTGAAATTTCTTAAAGGAATAGTTCACACATAAATGAAAATTTGCTGAAAATGTACTCACCCTCCTGCCGTCCAAGATGTAGATGAGTTTGTTTCTTCATGGGAACAGATTTGGAGACATGTAGCATTACATCACTTGCTCACCAATGGATCCTCTGCAGTGAATGGGTGCCGTCAGAATGAGAGTCCAAACAGCTGATAAAAACATCACAATAATCCTCAAGTAATACACTCTACTAACATGGGTTAACATCTTGTGGAGCGAAAAGCTGCATGTTTATAAGAAACAAAGCCATCATTAAGACGTTTTTAACTTCAAATCATTGCTTCTAGCTAAAATACGAGTCCATAATCCATAGTAACACTTCCTCCAGTTAAAAAGTTGTCTTGTCACTGTTTACAAGCCAAAGTAGTCCAAAACAGTTCTAAACAAAATGGGTGGATGTGAGAGGACAACAACAGGCAATGGACTTTTTCACTGGAGGAAGTGTTATTGTGGATTATAGACTCTATTATGGATTTTTGGCGTTTAAAGTGATGGTTTAAAGTTAAAGCGTCTTGGTGATGGATTTGTTTCTTACAAACACACAGCTTTTCACATCACAAGGTGTTAATGCATTGAAAAAGGCATCTTCTGCTTATAAATAATCTTTCTTTTCAGTCATGCCTAGTGAAAAGTGTGTTGAAGAAATTTAGTTCCAATAGACCTACAGTAACCCTATAGGTGGCGCTGTTGATCTAGATGGAAGATGGATGGCCGGCCATGAGGAACATTCTCTCATTCTTCATCTCCTCATTTCCCAGGTACTATAAGAAGTTCAGTATTCCAGATCTCGACCGTTGCCAGCTGCCTCTGGAGAGCGCAGCCTTGAGTTTTACCCACGCCAACAACACTTTAATCATCAGCGTGAGTGAACTCTCACCCCTAGTCTCACTTAATCACTTTCTCTAAGCTCTTTCTGTAGTGTAAGCTATGTAGTCACAGTTTTTTCCGCACGATGTAGAGGAACTTTCCCTTTTGCGTGGATCTAGGACCAGGTTTCCAAAGCCCTAATCCTCACTAAGAGAGCACACAAATCTGGTCTCAGATCATCAAAAGGGCAACTATGACGTCACTTTTTATTGGTTCACCTAAGTAGAGTAAGGTTGGACTGAACTGCTCTCACCTCTGTCATCTGCTCCAGTACTCAGCTATTTCATCCAGCAATGGATTTTATATGGAGTTTCTCTCACTTTTGTTGTAGTACAAGAAGCCCAAGGAGATTTTAACACTGGAACAGGAGCTGCTTGGGGAACTGAAGAAACTGAAGGGGACAAGTGAAGGAGATATTGACTGTAAAACTCAGTGAACTGCTGTGAATCCGGAGCCTTTGCATTATTGTATTTATCTGGCTGTTATTCTTCATGTTCATTTATGCTTAGTCTCACGTTGGCATGTTTCTGTGACATGTTCCTGTCTGCCTTGTGTGTCCAAGCAACTCGCTTTCAATGTGTGTTCTTTTTTGTTCAAAGTAAATTTCAAATCTTATGCTAATTGATGTTCCAGCTGTACAATAGAGTATTCTTTTTGAGTCTAAATAAATTTCACTGGCAAAAAGAAATTATTATATATTAACATTATTGTAAGAAGTTTGCTTTATTCCAGCTATTTCCACACTATAGCTAGAATATCTAAAGACTTAAAGCAGCACTATGTAACTTTTGGCGCTCTAGCGGTTAATAAACAGAACTGCACACATCCCGCGGAAGAACATTCCAACCGGAGCTACTTCTCTAAGTTTATGTCTATGGCGATTCACGCAGGTATGTGTTACTCCGCAGCGGTGACGACCCGGCCAGGCTACAATAGTCCAAATATAAGTACTTATTATAAGTGTACCGTAGTGATTCGGAATAAGACAAAAACGCGGTTTGAAAGATGAATTCATGATGTACTCACTCATTATATACATTTTGCAAATTTTGAACACAGAAAAAGTTACATAGTGCTGCTTTAATCAAATAATTATAGCAGATGCATAAGAAATAAAACTTAATAAAATGTGAAAAATAACAAGTAATCTTTAAAACAAAAACATTAAAAACGAAAAGAGAAGAATGCATAAATAAAATTATGCAGTACAATCATCAGTAGCATGCAACACAGTACTCATTCAGCAAATGTACAGCTAAAGAGATGTTTAATTGAAGCAGATTCATAAATTGACAACTTTTATAACCTATAACAGTTGTACAGTTGAATTATTATTAGAGATTCATCATCAAATTTCTATTACATGAAAGTCACTGAACTTGCGACATAATATGCTGTCATTACTGCCATCTTGACTCATCCGTTTTCTTGTAGTTCATCATGGGGAAATGAAACATTTCCTTCATCTAGGTTCCTTGATTTTATCTGTATTCACCTCATGTTTATGCACCATGTTTGGCATGGACCTCAGTGCTGTTGTTTGTGTTTCTAATGTAAATAGAATACTACAAACACAAACTCTTTGTTGGTTTAAGGCAAAGACAATATTTTGTATAATTTTGTAAAAAATTTTGTATATATATATATATATTTTTTAGTTGGTGGTCGACATTTGCTTTGTTTTGTTTTTACATTGTCTCTAGTATTTTGACTGGATGTCTGGTCCATATGTTCTGGTAAAGAAAGGCCTACTTAGACAGGAAGAGTGATCATCACAGGTTGAGTTGACTGCTAATACAGTGCTGCAGGAATGAGTCCTATAACCTGGAAACAAGTTAGCATTTTTGAACTTCCGGTTCCATCGTCCTAAAGACGGTAGGTTTTTTTCAATGGGGTTTTTTTTTTCTTCTTTTGGTTAGATGATTCAATTAAGGGTTGTGTTTAACACAAGCTCAAAATATGTTCACGTTTCATTCTACAACATAAAATACATAAGTAATAACCCAATCAAGATTTTTTTGTCTTTTATGTTTCTTGAAAACAACTGTCTAAATGGAATTACAGAGGTTGTCTGGGACAATAAACAGCATCACGCCAAACAGGTAAACTCATCTGCTCACTCAAACTTTCCAACTTCTAGATTTTAAATGAAGATGAAAAGATTTGTCAGAAATTTAGTGATGGTGGCACTGAAGCTGTGCAGCTGTGCTGTAGTTCTTTTATAGCCTAATTTGAGCTACTTCTGGCTTTTTGAATTTAGTTAATAAATAATAAAGTTAATAAAAGTTGTGGTAATTTGTGAAGATTATCGTGATGCACACAACGTGTGAGAATGGACGGACCCATCTGTTCATGACACCAGAAGTTGTTTAAATCTGCTAATCAGATTGCGTCTTATTAGTTCTGGAAAGTGTTTTTCAGTCAGTCGGTTAAGGCTATAATATATATATATATATATATGTGTGTGTGTGTGTGTGTGTGTGTGATATCTGTTGGAATTAATAAAATACATTAGAATTATCTGTATGCAAACACACACACACACACACACATACACATATATATATATATATATATCAGGGGTGGGCAAACTTGACTGTTCCAGGCCACTTTCCTTGAGAGTTTAGCTCCAATTGCACCTGAACCAGCTAATCATTGTCTTCAAGACTACTAGAAGGCTACAGGCAGGTGAGTTTTATCAGGGTTGGATCAAATCTCTGCAGGAAAGTGGCCCGGAAGGGCCAAGTTTGCCCATCACTGATATATACAGTATTTTTTTTAAAACAGTATTTTTTTTAAAACATTGATATTGTTAATTTGATCCTTTTGAAATTTGTGATCAATATGCAGACACAAAAACCCTTTTAAAATACAAAGACAAAGTGTAATTTATTGAATGATGCAGGCGTAGTGTTAGCCAGGCAGTCTTTTGACACGAACAGAACAATGCAGCAATTTAAAGAGAGTTTTAGTGGGTCAATCAAATGCTTTTCTAGATGCTTTTCTCCCGAAACATGGCCTTGCACGTGGAAGCAGTCCAAAGGCCAACTGACAAATCAGAAGTCCTGGGAAAAAGGCGACAGGGGAAGAGCTCAGGGCTGTGATTTTTGTTCAGTGTCTCTTCCCTTCCCTTTCTCCCTCCCCATCCTGAGGCCTCAATGGTCATGCTCAACTGCCTCAACAGAGAGACACTCTTTTTTGGCCCTTTTCATTCGTCTGTGCCCCTCTTTGCCTCTTCCCAGCCATTTGCCCTCTTTCAGCCCCTCTCGCCCACATCTCAACCCATAACACCCCCCGAACGTTTTCTATTCCCCCGAGTCGCTCTTGGTTTCTCTCTTCGCCGGCCCTCACCCCCTCTGTGTGACTGGGATTCCTTTTTTGATAGCTGACCCCTCCTTGTGTTATTATTCAGGTCCACCATTGTATAACATGTTTCTTTTCTACGGCGCCTACAAAGGGAACATTTGATCAGAGGGTTACGGTGTGCGGGTCGCAGAAATGCAACTACACGGTGGTAACCTTTGTTTGGGACAGCAATGGTGGGTTGACCTCATCTCTTCTAAAGCGAAAGGCCCGAGCTATTCAAAAGGCCCAGTCTCACTTGCTGAGCACATTCAATCGAGACCGGCCTGTCACAGATATTGCTTCACAGTTATCTGAGGCTAAGGCCTCTTTTTTTGGGAGTTCGACTGCTGGGCCAAAAACATAACAACAGCTATACGGTCCTGGAAGTATAACTCTTGAATAGCCCCGATCATGCCCTTGAGGTTTCTCTCAGGCTGCTGTTGTTGTCAACTGAATAAGCCTGACTCTGAAAGAAACTGGCTCCCAATTTGGCCGGCTTGTTCCTGGAGACCTTTGACTTTAACCCACACTTGCCGTGCTCGTGTTCTTGATGCGCCCACACACATACAGCGTGATCTATGAGAGAGTGAGAATTCGACCTGTCAGCTAATGATCACTGACTCCTTCAAAGCAAATTCAGCGTAGAAGCGCATCTCAAAGGAGTCGAATCAATCACGGCCGAATTTCAAGTTCCCACAAAAGGCGTTAGGGAGTCAATGAATCACACATCCCAAGACCTTGTTATATCAATACTTTTACATGAATTTAATACACACTCTAAAATAAATATTTCCATTTTTAAGTATTTTACAATCTTCCAATAAAAATATATAGTCATGTACAAACAATAAAGATGCTTTTTGATAATATCACTAAACATCATGGAACCGGTGTGTATCTGCATATGTTTGGGATCTTCAGTAGGTAGCTGCCATGTTCACTGTCAGAATAAAATGTGCAAAAATTGTACAACAGCTTGTACAACCCACTGTTAAAGGTCCATATTAGTGCCTTAGAGTAGCAATATGTACCCTTTGGCTACTACTATGAACCTTTTAGGGGTACATAAGGTACAGGTAATATATATCTAATATAAATTCAATATCACCATACTTTCTCCAGTTGATTAATCACAGTACATTAAGGCAATTGGGTCCCACTTTATATTAAGTGGCCTTTAACTACTATGTACTTACATTTAAATTAATCATTTGGTACAATCTGTTTCCCACCTCAATAGCAGCAAAAGTGTTTTGCAATACAATATGAACACAATAAGTACATTACTTATTTTTTGAAGTACATAGTAGTTAAGGCCACTTAATATAAAGTGGGACTGGCAATTGTTTTGCATTACAAGTTTCTTTAAATGTTATGGTTAGATATGCAAATGCGTCACTAGCCAATTAATTATGCACTAATTGCATACATTTCTAGAACAGAAGTCTGAACACTGGATAAAGCCAGGTTTTAAATTCCATTTCATTTGACATATTTAAGGTTTTTTCAGAGAGAACTTTGGATATCTTTTTTTTTTAATCACTCCATAAATTAGAAAATACTTTCAACAGACAAAAAATAAAATAAAATAAAATAAATAACCAACTTTTTTATACATATTAAACATATATTTTGCATATAAATCAGAAGAATGATGTATGAAACAACCCCTCTATAAAAAAAACCCTTCAGAATATAGATATGAATAAAACAGTAACGTTTGGTATATGTAATTTCTGCTGAGGTGGAAAAAAACTCATTTTGAGAAAACCAGCTTTAAATATATGCATTGTAATTGGTATCTGCAGATGCAAATGGATGAATTGTAAATGTGCAGTTTTTTTATGAAACTGAAAATAAAACACGTTATGGAAAAAACAATGGTTATGCCTGTAGTGTCTTGACTTGAGGGCTCTGCCCCAGTGACAAGCTGCTGTACCCCTAAAGATACAATTTTTGCACATTTTTCTAACAGTGTATGCGTGTCGTGTGTTCTGTTGTCTTGCTTCATTCCCAGAGATGTGTTGCTCATTATTACAAGGCTTAGTGTCCTCTGTTCAGTCAACAGTTCAGTAATTATCCCAGAACAAACTGTCCTTCGTACTGTGATTCATCTCAGATCTGAGCCTGTGCAGACTCCTTCATTTTTACACAACATCAGTTCGGCGTGATGTCCAGTAACTCTGGATGCACATAGATTAGATAAACTCAAATTAAGATAGCACTCGGGTATAAGATACGATTCTGCCCTCAATTCACGCTTGTGCGCTGATGGTGCTTAGTCCTCTTGTTAGAGGGATATGGGATTAAATCGAAAGGTTTCTGTTCTGTTAACAGGTGTCCTCGAGGAAGACGTTTCATGAAATGGGCCTCTCGCTGATGCTGCTGGGTCTGCGTGGCTTTCCTAGGTCGGCCCTTGCGTGTAAAGGCCATGTACCAGCCTTTGTACTTACCGTTCTGCAAAGCCGTGTAGTTATTTTCCAGAACAATCTCGGTGAATATACAGTCCCTGCCACGGCCCTTCCTCTGGCAAGAAAAAGAGACAGACAGCGGAGGACTGAAATGACAAACTCGGAAATCTGCAATTCAAGCCCGAGAGATTTATGAGGTTCAATTTTGTTCTCAGGGCATGATGGGTTTACCTGTGATGATACCATAAGTGCAATTCGAACCAATTGAATTGACTATATTTTCGTATGATTTCAACAACATCATTTTGCAGAATAATTAAAGATAAACACACCAGATGTTTAATTACTTAAACTCACCCGTCCAATAAGCTTGCCTCTCTTGTTCATGCAAATGTAGTATCCTGTTTTTGCTCCTCTGATTCGAACCCGGCTTCCAAATGTGTCGGTTTCCACAACAAGTTTTGCTGAAATTGTTAAACCATAGAAAAGTCTGTTACTTTTTTTTACTTTCAGGTGATACATACAAATGAATGATGCTTTTGGTCGTATATTGGGGAGTTTTGATTTGCATTGTTGTAATGTAGTCTGGGTTGAAATGTTAAGTGTAAAAAAGACAATACTTAGCCTAGATGTGTGAATGTGTGTGTGTGTGTGCCGTTGTAGGGCGATATAAAATACAGTTTGTACAGTATAAAAACCATTACGCCTATAGAGAGTCCCCGTAAACCACAGATGCAAGTATGTGTGTGTGTGTGTTTGGCCAAGACTACAAAGAGTAAGATTAAGAGTAACAAAGAAGGATATAAACCGATGACGCTGACCTCACCTCTCTTCATAAACTGACTCATACGTTGAGTTGTAAAGCTATGAAAATTCCTCGTAAAATGACCCTCCAAAAAAGTGGGCAATGTGGATGGACTGCACGAGTGGAAAGATGGCTAGACACGCAGAAATACTACGGTGACAGGAATTCGTTCCCAGCGGACGGGATTCTAACCACAGTTTTGTTTGGAGAAGAAGAGCTGCAGCTCACTTAAAACAGGTGCCTTACTGTATAACTTTAAAATTACACTGAGTTCAAATAAAAGCAAGATTGACTTCTCATTTGCAGCATCAGCGCACACTATGAATCATAGGGCAACCGTCCATTTAGCAAAGAAAAAAAATACACATGTAATTTTGGAGCGAAAAACTTAAGTGATTAAAACTTTAGATCATCATCTTGCCTCACACATAATGTAGGAACATTTGCAATAAACATATTTGTTTTGGAAGACATGAAAGATGAAAACTAATGATGTTAGAAAAGGTTAGAAAATTGCATGCCACATTTCTGTTCTACAACTCTTTATTATACGGAGAACTATTCAGGAAATGTTAAGACGGCAGAGGTAAGATGAGTACTGATGTGTTTTCCAGAACCAAAACGGGTTTCTCTTGAGATTCCCAAACTCTACAATATAGAATCCATTTCAAACTATGCAGGTTACTTTTTGGCAATGACATTTACTGGATATTCTGAAGTAATACCTTCAACTGACTTGTTTTGTCCTATTGTTTCAAGCTGACAAAGTATAATAATGCAGAACAGTAGGCCTGTCGCAATAATCAATATATCGACTTATCGCGCAATATATGTACATGACCTCAATCATTTTTGGGGACGCAATATTATATACGCCCATTATAGTTACTTAAAAATTTATGTCACCATGTTTTGTACATTCCACTTGCGCCTGTGTCTTTTGCAGCTTCTCGTACATAACGTGGTGTAGTCATAAGCTGCTAGTTCAAATTTTAAAAAATGCATCTACAAACAAAGTTTCATCTGCAGATATGGCCTTGTTTAGGGATCTGTGCCTTTGTGCATACTGACTGCCAGGTAGTGATTGTGTTTTTCAGCAATAGTGTGCACCATTAATTTATTGCCATGAATATCTCCATCCTCGCCAATGGCGTTGACCCTCTTATTGCCCAGGACTTGTACATGTTTACCACTAGTCCGGCTATAGAGCTGATAAGTCCTTGTTAATCTCCGACTCATCCTGTCCGAGAGACGACTCTGCTCCGTTACATGGTGCTTAAAATTGGGTACAGAGACGGACTGCATCGTCATCTATAAAAATGTAACAGAAGAACATGCAGATTTGTGGTGTATAAACAGAAGAACTATATTATGATTATTTAATGTGTGGCATACAACATGTATATAAGAACAATGATATGATCTACACTCTTTTAGGGGCAATAAAGGTGAGAGTGTTTCTCATCAGATTCAAATAATTATTTTTGCAGTGGAGGACAGAAGATGATTGGCACTCTGAGGGCAAGTGCCCCGTCCACACTCTGGATGGCATGTCAATAGGGGTCCAACACTGATCTTTCACCCCGTCTCTTTGGGCCCGTTCTCATAACGATTTTCTTTTGTTAGTCAGCTATGTGCCGTGCCCACATGTTAAAGCCATTACCTTTAAAGCGAGGGGTTTATGTCTTTTCAAGATGTTTGACAATTTGCCAATGCCTCTATTAATAATGAGTTGTTTGCATGGTTATAACACATTAACTGCCCACATATAACATCACAAGATTAAAGTGAGTAAAAAATGTTATCGCTTTCAGTGTGTCCTGCCGATGCTTGACTGGAAGATATTCAAATGGGGAGACTGAGTAGTGTTGTAACATTTTTGTTTTCAATGATTGTTTTGTTTTGACTTAATTGCACTATTACTATATATATTTATTTACATTTAATTTATATTTTATATTTTATAAACCTATGAATTATTCCTAAACTGTAAATATTATTGTCAGATAAAAAAAAAAAAGTGTTGCTTTTACAACCTGAACCACAACTGGGTGGGATGTAACACTAATAAAAACTGTGTATTTTATTATGGATGGAAACTTTAATATTATTTGAAAATATTAAACATAAAAGAAACATTTAATTGAAAACAGCACACAAAAAAAGAAGAAACTAATATGCAAATACATAAAATATATGATAACAACTCATGAGATGTGTGTGTTTGTCACTCTCACAGTTGTCACACCTGTACACTGTTCTATTTTGTTCAGTTTTAATACACTGAAAAGTCATGTCATAACCCTCCCTTTCTGGTCAGAGATGATATTCCTATTTTTTAATATGAAGGTAAAAAGTTGTGGAAGATAAAGGCCTATATATAATTAAAGAAAACAGCCTGCTGATTCAGATGAAAACAGTTTAACATCCACTAAAACTATCAGTAAAATTATAAGCCAGAAGTAAACTTTTTTTTTTTTTTTTTACAGAGACACAAATTATACAGTCTCCTGAGGGGGTGGTTGTTATCTATGATGGTGATTTCACCACTTAACTCATTTCTAATTGGTTAAACCGATATTACACACTATTGCACATAACATGTTCCCATCAGTTTACCTAGTTTGAGATGCTTGTTTGCAAATAAAATGCAGAAGACTTACCTGAGTGTAAAAACACAGGGTGATAAATTGAAGTAATCTGCGATTAAAAAAAAAAATTTAAAAAGGTTAATTAGGCTACGGAACTATTCTTTAAAATATAAAAATAACTCTTCAGCAAAAGCCCATATTAAGTGTACTTACATGTAACCTAACCTCGATGATTTCAGCCTCATTGTGAGATCTCCAAGCCCTGTCTGATTATTATCCGAAACAATAAATTCTTCATTAATTCCTCTGTGCGTGTAGATTATAGTGTGAAGATGCTCGGTCCATCGGACTTTTAGCAAAAATAACAATAAACTGAGTGACAGGATAAAATATATTGGTATCGACTGTGATTTATTCATCCACTGAGTCCATGTCAAATGAATCCGTCAAGTAACTTTTATTCCTTAGATTTCAAGCACCTTGCAGGCGACTGTTCTCATAAACATAATTCATGATCGGTGTCCGATTACAGCGAAGATGCGAAAAATAAAACATTCTTCATAGAAAATCAGCGACAACATCCGGCAGCGTGCGCGCGCCCGTAGTGAGACTTTGCATTATGTTTCCTCACGGTATCTCCAGTACTGATGTAAATGTCACTGGAACAGTCTGAAGTCACATTTAGGTTGATAAACTGTGATGTTTCCCTGGCGAGAGACTGAGAGCAGGAGCCCCGTGTCTCTCTCCACTTTCAAACTCCCAATGTCAAACCCACTCTTCTCGTGTAGTCTGACTCCCGTTACCTCCACAGAAGCCTCATCCCACCCCTCAACATCCAAACTCCTTCACTGAGGGAGAAAGGCATTTCGTTTAGCCTGAACAATTGCTAGAAGAGTTTATACAGTTAAAAATGCACTCACAAAACGGACTGAATTTAACCTTTTCTTTAAAACAACATTTAACCCATTTAATCCCACCTGTTACATTTGTGATCAAACTTTACATTTGAATATAGTCTAAAAAGAGTTGATGTATTTGAAACAGTTTGTAAAAAAAACATTTCATAATGCACACACAACTATTTGAAGACATGCTTTATGATAATTCAATATTTAAATGATCTATTATTAATGTATTATAAAGTTTGTTCTGTCTTAAATACATCATGAAATCAAACCCAGAGCCCAACTTTAATTAACTGATTAATTCACATCAAAAAATTTAGTTTTTAAATTATTAAATGAAACAAAAACTTTTCTCCCCAGAATTATTGCCAAAGTAATACAAATCTTAATGTTACTTAAAGGCAGGGTAAGTGATTTCTGGTAGCCAATGTTGATATTTGAAATCACCAAAACAAACACGCCCCTACCCCAAAAGGGTCTTGCCCCTATTTTGATAGCTCCGCCTCACATATACGTACGCAACCCAGGCACCGATTAGTTCTGTGAAACAAAGCAAAACCAATGTTACACCGTGTCTACACCGGACGCGAGCGGCGCGGCGCACTCTGGAAAGCTGATCCGATATTTACACGGGTCTTACTTCTTGCCTTATCGTTCCGCCATCTCTATCTTTCTGTCGCTCGGCTCGGCTAATGTCCGTCCCATGCACTGAAAGCTCTCTCCTCCACATCACGAGTAGACACGCCCCTTATTGCTGATTGGCTACAAGTTTGTTTTGCTATTCGGCCCGAATCAGTTTTCTAAAGTGTTTTTGAAAAATCACATACCCTGCCTTTAAATTGTAATTAGTTTTCAGTTAAAATCCAAATAAAACATACTTGTTTTATTTTTTGGCACTTTATTACAAAAGACATGCCATTTGTATTGAAATATCCAACTATTAACATGCATTTGCTCACTAAAAGAGTGAATAAAAGTGTTAACAGCACCTACAAAAATAATAATCTTCATCACTGAAAATATGCAATTTTTTTCAATAGCTAATGTTATCTGCATAACATTCTGAAATCATGACAGACTTAATACTCATAATATACTGGTTTAAGTACACCTCCCGACCAGCCCAAACCAAAGAAATATATAACCCAGCCTCTAATAGGAATTTTTGTTTTAAAAAAAAATATATATCCCACAAGGAAAAGGGGAAAATTGAAAATATTCTGATATCCACTCCAGAATATATGCAGCTACATTAAGCTATTCCCTGGCTGCCTGTAAGATTTTGCTTCACTGTGCCTTTGTGGTGACCCCAGTTTTCATTTTTTCATTCACACACTGCATGTTTAAGTAAAATATGCTCCACGAGAGTTCTTAACATATAATGGCTAGACATGTGCTGTCAAGTACTCCTAACAGCTTAGTTAACTTTGATACATTAGATTCACCAGAAAACAACACATCTAAACTGTTCTGTTACCTGTAGCCTATATTGTGCTTGATAATGTAATATGTCAATTTCATATCATGATCCCAAAAGCATGCAATAAAATCACCATGTCTTAATGCAATGCTGATCTGTCACAAAGCTGTAAAGGTCCTGGATCAATGGACTGGAATCCAATGGTGTATCTCAATTGCATATTGAGATGTCTTCATCTGCTAGTGGGATTTTTTTCTTCACATTCTGGCAAATAAAGGTTTTACTCTAGCCTTCAATATGCTTCAATGACCATAACATGGATCACTGCAAGTACCACCAATCTCAAACTGAGACTATAATTCCCATGCATGACTCATAACCCAAAAAAGAACCACTTTCACACCTTAGGAGCAACAAACCAGCTGCTAAGCAGCATAGAAAATGTCATTATCGGTATTGGTTTAATTCCATCCCATAAATTACTCATATCAGTCTGTGTGCTGGCTTAGAGGGTGAGCATGTACCTGACTGATTAGATCCAGAGGGAGACGGCCACGAGTGATTTTGCCACCTGGAATGATTCAGTGCACTAGTTAGTCAGGTCCTATCTCAGACATAACACTGAATTTGTGCGTTGGAAACGTTTGTTCAGGTTATGTCTTGAATTTTAATGTGTTTCTGCAATAAAATATGTTGAGGTCAAGAGCACTGACAGTGCTCATTTGAGAAACTTTTGGAGCAGCTCTTTGGTGCAGATTTACTAACTTCATTTAACTCAAATGACAAATGTCTCAAATGATTTCCATTCATTTGATCAATAACATTTTACAACACGGTTTCATTGGCTTACTACATTAGTTATTGACAATATAACGACCATGAGGCATCATTAGCAGAAATTTGACTTCGCAGCTATTTTATAGCTAAAATTATCCTTATCATGTACAAAGACTTAGATCAGCTATGTGTAATGACATTACTCTACTTCCACTTCCTTCCTCCTTCAGTGTATTAAAAAATGTATATATTGTTTTTCCACAAAATATGTATATATTGTGAAAAAGTCACCTCATAAGATCTCTTACTACTGCACCACAGTCAAATTTATTTTACATTTACTACAGTATTCATTGACTTGACTCGTCATTATGGACCGGATAGTACTTTCACAGTATCTTTAATGTATTCACAATTGTTTTAACATTCTCTGTGTTTGGCTTTTGAGACCTCACCTTAACAGATGACTTATATTCTTGTCTACACAGTACAGTGTGTTCATTTTATTGATAGTCACTTTTACTGGACATAAAAGCAAAACTGCCTCCTTTTAAATGTTAAACTGGAATCCATAATTTGTATATATAACAGAACACAGTGTCTCCTTTATTTGACCCTGTCTTTTTTTCATAGCTTTTAAACACCCTCTACAACAATGTAATATGTTCAGGGTGAGGAGCTTGTTTTCTTTCTTGTTCTCCCTCACCCTAACTCTTTGTCGTCAAACAGCCAAAATAATTCAGCAGTGGTTAACCAAGACTCATGCTTTTGTCAAGCTAGAGGAAACCAAACGGTGCATTTTAATATCACAGCCATGTTTTAATCCAAACTTTTTTTCCCCATAGATTTTCTTTATGCCATAGTTGTATTTCTCCTCTTGCTTAACCAGTTCTGGTCCAGGTCTGCCATCTGACGTCTGGTCATTGAGTGGTTGATGCTCTTCCAAACATTGTCCCTGTCCTTCTAAATAGCAGTAGGAAAATAAAAGTGAGAGACAGAGTGAAACAAGAACTCTGGCATGGGGATCTACGGTTATTCTTAGAGGAAGAGGAGAATGAGTAAATGTCTAAAGCAGCTAATATGAGCACACTCCATTAAGTAAAGTATTATTCACTCCAGTTGATGCCAGGCACAAAAATAAACTCCACTGTGAGACAGAGAGAGAGAGAAAGAGAGACAGAAAGAGAGAGTGGTGTAAAGGTAGACACCATGGAGGAAAATAAAACGGAATGTGCCTTGAATGTGGAAGCAAAGTTGGAAGTAGATCACAGGTGTCATCCAGTAACACAAATCACTGTATACACTTTTGAATGACACATGCTGTCAGAGACTGTTCTAAACACACTGGATTCAGCTGCGATTGTACTATAACTGCCTTGATAGCAGACATGTGTTAATGGTTTTAGCACAAGCAAATCTAAGGGAACCGTCTTAAAAAAAAACCTTCCAATGAAGTTCAATGAGTGAAAAAGGTGTTCAAACTTTTGTTTGGTGCTAAGAGAAAATCTAAGCCAACCCGAAAAGTTAGTACCACCCTGGTTCCCTTGACCAAAACCCAATAGGATTTTTCCATTGGCTTTTGTATTATTGCAGAAAATAAGCTCAGTTTAGGTTTCTTACTGTCAGACTCTGTTTCATGTTTTGTGTGTGTCCTGCTCCCCATGTGCCTTCCCATGCCCTTATTTGGTTTGTTTCCTGTTCCTCCCCTGATTAATTAAGTTGATTTCTTCCCAGGTGTTTCCCTTGATGTGTCATGGCTCCCAGGTGTGTCTCGTCATCCCCTCCTCCTGTGTGTGTGTGTGTATATAAAGTGTTCCCAGTCCCTAGTTCTCTGTCCGATGTTGAAGGTCTTCGTGTGAACGTCTTCCTGTGTTCGTCTCCCTTGGTTCCTTGGTGCAAATAAAGTCCTGTTAAAAGTATTCTCCAGCGTCTCCTCGTCCCTCGTGTGTGTGACATCGTGACACTTACAAGTTTTGTCTTCACAAATAAACACAACCTTTCTTAATTTTGAAGCTTAAATGCAATTACCAGAAGTAAAAAATAAAATAAAAAACTATACATGAACTATACCACTGTTACATGGCTTCTCTGTCAGTCAGTCTTTATTTAAAAATATAGTTTAAATTAGTTTGCAATAGTTTGC